TTTTGGTGGGTTTTAAACCCCGCCACAAAATGCATTTTAATGTTACTTATTTTCCAGTTTCTGACAGTTTAAAACTGCCACAAAAAGCATACTTGTTTTATAGTTTATGACAGTTCAGACCGCCACAAAATTCATCTAAGATTCTTCAAACATTTTCTGGTGGTTTTAAACCACAAAAACATGGAAAAAGAACAATAAAAAAAGGTATCTCTCTGACTCCAATCCTTTTGCATATCTAACAAAAGGTTTTCTTTCTATGGTATATTTTTCTCCATGTTTGTTACAACATTTATAGTATTTTACTCTACCTCTAACTATTTTTTTCAGATAAGATGATATTTTTAACACACGAATTTCAAACTGGTTATCAAACATAAACATTGTTGGAAAACGAAACTTAACTTGCTTGACATCTTTTCCACCTACACTGACTCCAGCTTCCACAATGAATGGGTGACCCTCAAAAACTTGAGCACTGTGCAGCAATGGCAGAAGAAATTAACTCATTTTAGACCATATTAATTGAAAATGTACATGAGGAATATTCCTGAAAATTGAAAATTTTGTTTATTCGGAAGGATCAAAGGAATTTAAATATTAATTCATTTACAATGCTTAAAACCATACTTATGAATGTCTATATCCAGCCTGCAGAATGAAATATAATTTTGGTTCTTCATTGATGAAGAGATCTCAATAGGAAGCCCAGTACTCATTTTAGACCATATTAATGCCTGCATACATGAAAATACCAATTAATAAGGCCACGTTAAACAAGTATGTAATACGACTTCAACCGAAAAGTTGCCAACTGTTATAAATTAATTATCAGAGTAAATAAAAACAAAAACAAAGAGGGAAATGCATGTTGTTAATCAATACCATCTTCGCACCAAACATATTTTCCCCGCGTCTGTTTTAAACCATATTTTGTCCCGGATAGAACTGCATGAATTGATAAGCTTACAGTATGTGAGATTTCTAATTACTGCTGAAATGTCTAAACATGTTGATTCAGGGATAACTGAAGCAGCAAGTAACTGACTGACCTCGGCCAAACATATTTGGGATGTCATCATGTGGCATTCCTTTTCCATTATCCTACAATTAGTAACAAGAGTGAGACTGATAACCACAAAAACTAGAAAATACTTTCAAATTGGATTTCAAAATCTGATCGAACAGTTTTTTTCTGACTGGATCAAAGTTAACACAAAGACAATGCACATCAACACAGTATCACAAAGGAAGGCCTGAGGCAGAAACCATGCGCACCTTGCATGTAACTCTGTAAAAGGAAGCCTCACCTCGGCCCTTGATAACCTTTGTAGCTGAAGTTTCTTTCACTTTCTTTCCAAGGGCAGCATTCTTTGCTTGCATTTCTTGAGCACGAGCCTCTTTTGCTAATCGTTTCTGCAAGGGAAGGTACTACATGAAACAGAACACTACCTAGAGAGACTTTCACATTTAGGGTCTATTTGGATAAAGTTGTGAGTTGTTCAAAAATACTTCTAGGAGAAGAGAATAAATATGGAAAAAAAAATAATAAACTTCTCCAAAAGTTAAAATTATACTTAAACTAATTTGTAGAAGATTTCTCATACTAACTTATGCGAAATATATTTTTATATATAAGCTAATTTTCTTCTTATTTTCCTATCTTATAAGTGTCTATAAAAACATTTGTCCTACCAGACCCTTACTCTACTCAATTGCTCAAGTTGTTTGTAGGAATGAACCAAGATGATAATTTGAAATTTGTTACCATAACAACTTAACAATATATACTACCCAAACCCAACCATTTTAATCCAGACCGGTATATCTTAGTACAACAACCAACTTTACAAGATAAAACTAAACACACCTCACGAACCTTCTCAGTTTCATAATCATCATACAACGCGGCATCGACTCGTTCCCGGTCAACAAGACCAATCATGGAATTAAATTTGCTCTTCCCTATCTCCTCACTACAACAAAACATCACAAAACAAATCATTCACAAATATAATTAAAAATTTGTCGTTCACATCTTACCAGCATCAATTTGAGAAGTTTCCCTCCAGTATGACTACTTCCTCTCCTAATGATGTTTGTAAACTACGTCGTTCTTTGTATGGGCTTAAACAGGCTCCTCGGGCTTGGTTTGAGAAGTTTCATACTACACTTCTTAACTTCTCCTTCGCACAAAGTCAATATGATTATTCTCTTTTCTTCCACAAGTCTTTCACGGGTATAGTTCTCATCTTGGTTTATGTGGATGATCTAATCATTACGGGAACTGATACTAGGTTGATTACTAAGCTTCAAGTTATGTTACATGCAACATTTTGCATGAAAGATCTTGGCCAACTCACATATTTTTTGGGATTGGAGGTACATCATCGATCAAATGGCATATATTTAAACCAACATAAGTACATCCAAGCTTGGTACGTGGATAAATGGTGGGTGGCCCTTTTTAATGATCTATGATTGGCGGGACTTGGGTTTTTCCCAATACACCCCCTCATGCCTATGAGACATGCATCAATGATGGGTGGCCCATTTTTAAAGTGGATCTAAATGGCTCTGATACCATGTTAGAATAGTGGATTAAGCCTAACTCAACCCTACAAAATCGGCTTGTAAGGTGAGGGTTGCTTTCCACTTATATATTATTCAATTGCCTAATCTCTAGTCGATGTGGGACTTGGGTTTTTCCCAATAGAAGGTATAAGGTTTAAGGTTGTGGCTGAAATATTTTTTGACTTTTGAGTGGTATCTTGTTTCATAGCGGTCAATCATTGTTACATATATACATATACACACACACATATATTATATTATGCTTGGAAGAGGAGTGGGCTTACTAGGCTGCAAGTGTATGAAAGCCAAAGGAGGAATAAGGGGTAGAATATGTTGAGAGAAATTTGTGAATAAAAACCAAGCTAGCTGGTATACTTGGAGTGAAAAAAAGAATAGAATTCTTGTATAACACCAATATGCAAGGAAGAGGAAAGATAAAGTGATGGAGCGAGAGGAGGGAGAGAGTGACAATTGAGGTTTAAGGAGAGGTTTGGATGAGGGTTCTGCATACCTGCTGTATCTATGTGCATGTTTTTTGTTCTACAGTTTTCTTTTTAGGATTTTACCTCTATTGTAAGGAGCTAGACTCCAAATTTTCTTAGTCAATCTAATTCTTGTTTATGTCTTTTGGTTGCATACCCCAACTTCCTTTTGTGGTTCAGGATAAGTATTTTGAGTCTAGAAAACATAGCACCAAAAGCATTATTAAGAGGGTGAGGTGATAAAATATTTTTATGCAAAAAATGGTTTTCTTTAAGAATTGGTTACATGAGATGAGTATTAATTTAAAGTTATTCATAAAGTTGCAATTGTATAGGAAAGACAAATGGCTTTTAGAAAGAGTCCTTAGAATAATAAGAAACCTTTATCATATTTTAGTACTGTTTTGATTGAGAATTGGTTAATACATCTAAAGTTTATTTGAATTTAGATAGGAATCTACTTTAAGCATAATATAAAGTAACTTTAAACTAAAATCCATAATAGCTTGGAATTGTTATTTAAGGAAGTTTTAAAACACTAAAATAAATTGACAAGTTTTTCTTTCTTTCTCTCTATCTTTATTTGAGGATGTTTGGATACAAGCTTAGAAGAGTTTTTGTAAGCTTCTCTACTGAAAAGTTTTCAGTAGTGAAACCCTCAGAACTGCTTTTAATTTGTTTCTAAAGTATTTGAGCAAGCTAAATAAATTTCACTATTAGCCATGGATCTTTTTTTTTTTAAATTTTTTTTAAAATTTTTTTAACCTTTTTATAGATTAGAATTGATTTTATATCATTGCTGAATCTTGATTTCTCACAGGAGATTTCTTCCCTAAGACAATTTCCTTTCTTATTTGTGCTGACATGTTTCCCTCATTGTATTTTAAGCAGAAAAAGAGGTTTGATGGTTCACCTAGGTCCTAAAAAATTACTGCATTTTATGGCTTGAAGACACCTCCTTATGAACTTGTAAGTTATTCACTCCATTTCCTGAATCATATTTTTGTTTGAAGATAATTATACTGTTTTGGCCTATATGCTTGAATTAGTTGAGGCATTTAATTGAGCAGTAAGCTTATCAGAGGACTAATTGCATAGGTAGTTTAAATGACTATTTCCACTTAAGCCATCATAATGATGAAGAAAGAAACCAGGAATTGAGAAAAAGAATATTATATTTGACCAAGGGATGACATTACATAGAAGGTTGTGTTTATGATGAAACAATTACATCCAACCTTCGATGAACTCTAAAATGTAAGTTACCCTTTTCCAAAAACTATTTATGTGAAAATTTATTTCTATTGGATAATTTCTTTTTATTACAGCCATTGTGTTTATTCAACACCTTCAATTAATTTGTCTCTATCATGGATAAAATGCACAAAGTCAATATGATTATTCTCTTTTCTTCCACAAGTCTCTCACGGGTATAGTTCTCATCTTGGTTTATGTGGATGATCTAATCATTACGGGAACTGATACTAGGTTGATTACTAAGCTTCAAGTTATGTTACATGCAACATTTTGCATGAAAGATCTTGGCCAACTCACATATTTTTTGGGATTGGAGGTACATCATCGATCAAATGGCATATATTTAAACCAACATAAATACATCCAAGATTTGATCACTTTGGTTGGTTTAGAAGGAACTACTTCAGTTGATATTCCTATGGAAGTAAATGTCAAATACAGGAAAGATGAAGGAGATCTTTTGGCTGATCCAACTATCTATCGGGGTTTGGTAGGAAGTCTTATCTACCTAATGACAAATCGACTTGACATTTCGTATGTTGTTCACCAAGTCAGCCAGTTTATGTCTTCTCCTCAGCATCTTCATTTTGCTGCTATTCGTCGCATTATCCGCTATCTTATAGGGTCACCTACACGTGGGTTATTCTTTCCTAGAGGCTCACCCTTACAACTTCTGGCATATAGTGATGCTGATTGGGCAGGGTGTCCGGATACTCGTCGATCTACTACAGGCTGGTGTATGTTTCTTGACGGTGCCGTCATTTCCTGAAAATGTAAGAAGCAGGATCGTGTTTCTAAATCTTCTACTGAGGCTGAATATCGTTCAATGTCTTCTGCTTGTTCTGAAATTGTGTGGTTACGCAGTCTTTTGGAGGAGCTTGGATTTTCACAGCCTGACTCTACCCCTCTTCATGCTGATAATACAAGTGCTATTCAAATTGCTTCAAATCCCGTGTTTCACGAACACACCAAACATATCGAGGTTGATGTCACTATATTAGGGAAGCCTTGACCAGTAAAGTCATCTCTCTTCCTTACATCTCCACAGATCTTCAAGTGGCTGATATCTTTACCAAAGCTATGACTAGACAGCGCCATAAGTTTCTTGTTGGCAAATTGTTGTTGGTTGACTTACCAGCATCAATTTGAGAAGTTTCCCTCCAGTATGACTACTTCCTCTCCTAATGATGTTTGTAAACTACGTCGTTCTTTGTATGGGCTTAAACAGGCTCCTCGGGCTTGGTTTGAGAAGTTTCATACTACACTTCTTAACTTCTCCTTCGCACAAAGTCAATATGATTATTCTCTTTTCTTCCACAAGTCTCTCACGGGTATAGTTCTCATCTTGGTTTATGTGGATGATCTAATCATTACGGGAACTGATACTAGGTTGATTACTAAGCTTCAAGTTATGTTACATGCAACATTTTGCATGAAAGATCTTGGCCAACTCACATATTTTTTGGGATTGGAGGTACATCATCGATCAAATGGCATATATTTAAACCAACATAAGTACATCCAAGATTTGATCACTTTGGCTAGTTTAGAAGGAACTACTTTAGTTGATATTCCTATGGAAGTAAATGTCAAATACAGGAAAGATGAAGGAGATCTTTTGGCTAATCCAACTATCTATCGAGGTTTGGTAGGAAGTCTTATCTACCTAACGACAACTTGACCTGACATTTCGTATGTTGTTCACCAAGTCAGCCAGTTTATGTCTTTTCCTCGGCATCTTCATTTTGCTCTTATCTACCTAACGACAACTTGACCTGACATTTCGTATGTTGTTCACCAAGTCAGCCAGTTTATGTCTTTTCCTCGGCATCTTCATTTTGCTGTTGTTTGATACAAGGTATGAACAAAGCTAAACAGCAAAGAACAAGTGGATTAAAAGAATTAAGAAAAATTGGTCTCTAAAATCCGTCACTAATACTTATATTTTTTTTAAAATCAATTAAAAACTCAAATTGAATCTCCAATATGCTTCACGTTTGATCCAGTCCAGCCACCACAATTTTCAGCCAAGAGTGTTTATGGTGTTTGTGTTTGAAGTAGCCAAATCCGAGAGCCACCTATATCCTTTCCTCCTCCTTTCCTTAGGCTTCTTTTGATGACCCTTGTAGAACTAGCTTCTAGGAAGATAAGCTAGGTCAAACTTAGGCCACACTTGAGTTTAGTCAAACATAAGAACAGCAAAGATAATTGAAGAAGAAAAGAATATAAGAGTAGAATTGGAGATGACAATTTTAGATGACTCCAACAAGTAGATGACTAGAACAAGAAGGAAATAACCTAAGATTAGTTCTAGAATGGATGCACAAAACCAAAACACTCAAAAATATGAGCTGAAAAAAAAAATATGAGTCAAGAACAAATACAAACCGAGAAGACACAATTGAGAATTCAAACTCCTTAATTGGCTTTTGCTTTTCAAATTTAGGTTTAGCACTTTTTTTTATACTCAATTTGTTTTGAATTTTCTTTTGATCTTTCTTCTAATTTTTTTTTAAAAAAAAAATTAGGAGTTGCCTTTTACTGTCCAAAATTTATGTAGCATCAAAGTCTCGGTCACTCTTAGGTAGCACCAAAACCGGATTTCAAAAGAAAATGCCAAATGACAAGACAAATTAGGTCAAATTCAAGACAAATGTAACATGCTTTTCATGCTTGTAAATTTGAATGGCACATGCTCACGGTTTTAGGCTCCAAAAATAAAATTCAAAATTGAATTACTAACACAAATTTTCAGCACACACAACTAATACAAGATCAAACACTCATGGATAGGAAATTTTTTTTTTAAGACATTTTCAAGATTTAGGAAACCTACAAAATTTTTCTATGAAAACTACTAATGATCTAATAGTAGTTCATGAACTCAATCAAAAAAAAAATTATGAGCTTATACCAAATGTTTATGGATCTCGGCCAAATCCATAACATGATTTAAGTTCACTCCAAAAAAAATTCAAAAGGATCAACAAGCAATGCTAAGAATGATGAACATACAAAGAGCTACACAAACCTACTAGACATGGATTCAAAAATAAAACAACAAGACTCAAAAAATTAATGACCGAAAAAGATTTCAAGTATGACTCAAAGAAATTAAAAAGTTCATAGGCAGAAAATTCCTAACAAGGCACAAGAAGAGAGCATGATTCACGGAAGCATAATATCACAAAAGCATAATGAATCATTCAAGCATAAGAACTAGATCCATCAAATTTGGAGACGAAGTTAGATCTAGGAAGGAAGCAACTCTCATGTGACAAGAACTCAAAGACAAGATAAACAAAATTGAAAACAATGAACCACGGATCACACAACAAAAGATAAAATCAAGAACTTATCTCTTGAAGAAACCGGATGCTCTTGATACCACTTGATGTGCTTCCACTTGGAATGCACATGGATGCTTCAAGTCTTCACGGATGACCTTGGAAGAAACTTCAAGGATGGAGGTTCCATGAAGACTCAATGTGACCTTAAGCTTGCTTACAAGCTAAGTTCAAAGAAGAATAAGGTTCCTAGCTCTACAAAGAGAAGCACTCAAGGAGGGTAGAGATAGGAAACAAGTGACTTCGGAGGGTTCAATTCTAGAGAGAATAAAACTCATCAATATCATCCAAAGTGTTACAATACTCGGCCATAGAAGGATTTATAGGGGAAATTAGGTTAAGGGTTTAAGTTGGGTTCACCTAGAGTTAAGTAGAACCATGGTATGGTTAACTTAACTCTAGGCGCCAAAATTTGAATTCTAAAATCCAAATTTTGGTGCCAACCGGCCACCCCCTCCATGTGCACTCATTTGGATGTGATTTAGTATGCATTTGAGTTGCATTTAGGTCACACCATGTGCATGTGTGCACATGGCCGAAATGCACCTTCAAATGACATACTAATGACATTCAAATGAAAGTGTACATGTTAACCTAAATTAATCCTAAATCTAAATGGCCATGAAATGAAATTCCTATGCTAATGGCCGGAAATACAAGGCCCAAAGAAATACAAGGCACTAAAGCCCAATCCTGTACTAACCCTAGTCTACTTGGGCTTGAGTCAAAGCCCAACAAAACAAAGTAATGGGCTTCCCTTGGGCTTGGGCCCACTCTTCATGTATCCTTCTTGCCATAGCCCTAGTAGTTGGGCCCTTGGCCCATGGGCTTCCTCCATGAACATAAGCTCATTTACTCGTTCATCATTCATCATACTTGTACGTGCACACTTACATGGTAATTTCAACCACCGGAAGCTCAGATATAGACTCCGCCAAGTCAAGTGAATTCTCCACAAGCTCTCTAACACTAGTATAAAGAGATTTTCCAGGCTGCAGTTAAACAGAGAAAGCATACATATATATTAAAAAATCACAAAAATGGATACACGTTCCAAATCAAACACATCATTGTACAATTACACTTACGTTATCAAATCCTACAATGTTCTTGTTTTCCGCAAAGAACTCAGCCGGAGATTCTACAAATTTAAATAAATAAATAATCAGTTGAAAACAAGAAATAGGGCTAAAGAAACCATTGAGAATGGACAAAACAAAAGAAGAGTAGATGAAGAAAAAAATATTTTTTGATATAAGTTAATGACTGTCAGCTTATCTATCTTTTGATAGTGCTTAACCGGCACTAAATGCTAGTTATGTAACAATGATGATGCAGGTTCACTCGTGACTATAGAGTGATTTTCCCTATGCAAGACCAAGGAAAACTGAGTAACAAATAAGACAAATGCATATATATGCAGTGATGTTTACATTTCTCTGTTTCAACTTTTTCTCATATTTCTTATTCTCTAACTCAAACATCATTTTCATATTTCAGGACATTGGCAAATAAAATTACAGTAAAAACAATGCTAAAATTAAATTATAATCTAAAAAAGATAGTCAATTATAAAAACTAATTTAAGAATAAGTATGTCATTTCATAGCAGACATAGTATCCAACAAAAATGCAAAGTACCAGGAAAGGTGCGAGTATGATGCTATATATTAATTCAAACACATATTGTGTCAATAACAATATCGTGCTCTGTTAGGAGTGTCATCAACAAAGTAAAACATTTTTTGTTTACCTCATTAAATTAGTGTCATTAACAAAGTAACAAAATTAGTTCTAGACACAAAGGAAAAACGTTTTTTTTTTGTCCTTTTACTCAGTTAAACATGGTCAAGGTCCTTGTACTGTCACATTCACGAATTTGGTCCTCAAACTTTAAATAAACACTTAAATTTAAGAATTCATTATGTTTTGTAAAGTTTAAAGATCAAACTCATCTTTTACCAAAAAAAAAGGATCATTTACTATGTATAACACATAATAAAATGGGGAAAATATATTAAATTCCTACATGAACAGGACAGAACAGAATGCCTTCCTTCACCAACAAGGGACTAATTTCAAACAATCCAACAACCCTATCCCTTAGGCCTAGATCAGAAAAGTTATGCACTCAAAAAATTAACACCCAGGGACAGCATAAAGCTGTAAAAACAACAACCAACCAACCTCAACGCGATGGCACTATGTGGATCAAACAACACTATCAGGGCAGCATAGAGACATAAAACGCAGTAGTAAAATAGTTTTACAACCTATTCATTTAATTAGTATATACCAAATCCGCATGATTAAGAAAATTACAAAGCGAGCATTACAAAACACAATCTAACCTGATAGCCAGGAAAAAGAATGATTAAAAAAATCCTCGAAACGGAAGCTTCAGACCAATCTACGAGCTCAGGATCGCATCGAATAAGAATCCTAAATTCAACAAAGAGAAAAATGAACAATCACTTTTCACACAGTGACTTCAGTACGATTGATTCCCTTGCAGATTTATGCCTGGGTTTTGCATTTCTCTTTAAAATGAAATTAATGAAAATAGAGTAAACTCGATGCAATTAGATTGTTAGAAAATTTCTTAGAACTAGGTATCGTAACAATTTGAAGAACAAGAATGAATAGGGATACCTATATGAGAAAG